CTACCCGACTTCCGCACCGAGGAGCCTTTCCGAGCTTTCAGTCGGGTGGGCGTGGATTACGCCGGACCCTTTCTGACGAAGCAAGGGAGAGGAAGAAGTCGAGCAAAGCGCTATCTCTGCTTGATGACGTGTCTTCAGAGCAGAGCAGTTCATCTTGAGATGGCGTATGGCTTGGACACGGAGAGCTTTCTGCTGGCATTCACCAGGTTCGCGAAGAGAAGAGGTGTACCGGATCTCGTCGTGTCCGACAATGGTACCAACTTTGTGTCAGCCGAGCGTGAGCTACGAGAAGCCATCGAAAGCCTCAAGAACAGCCAGATTGCCGCTACCATGGCCTGCAAAGGCGTGGAGTGGAGGTTCAATCCGCCACGCTCACCGCATCACGGCGGGGTCTTCGAAGCAATGGTCAAGTGTGCCAAGAGAGCGTTGGTCGGCATCTTGCACAATGCTGTGTGTTCTGATGAGGAGCTCCAGACTGCCTTCACCACTGTTGAGGCTCAGCTCAATCGTCGACCTCTAACGGCCCAGAGTGGAGATGGACAAGACCCGGAGCCGCTAACACCCTCGCACTTTCTAGCGGGATCGACGACCGTGATGACCGCGGTCGAGGAAGATGGCCAGGCGTACCACCTCAAAGCCTGGAGGGTGTTGCAGAGCTGTTTAGCCGCGGTCTGGAAGCGCTGGCTACAAGAGATGGTCCCAAAGTTGAACATACGTCAACGATGGCAGAAGAGCCTTCCCAACATCCGGATTGGAGACGTGGTGCTTGTCCTGGACGCGCACACTCCTCGCGGCCAGTGGCCTCTCGGGAGGATCGAAGCGATCTACCCAGGCACCGACGGAAGAACACGTGTTGTCGACGTGAAGGTGAAAGGGAAGCAATACCGCCGACCTATCACTGTGCTCATCCCGATAGATGCGGTGCGCACTCCCTGAGCAGAAGAGTTACGGCAGCTATTGCGTTTTGCACCACTCATTAGGTATGACAATCTGTGCTGTGTGCATGATACTTGTTAAGTCTGATAGAAGGCTATAGAACTAACTTTAGGGTCATTCTTATTCTGCGATAGAGAAGATTACGCTCTACCTCTCTTGTTTACGCTCTACTTCTTTGTTGCTTGTTCGTGAAGCTACAGACGATTAGTACATTGCGATTTAGAGTGTTTTCGTTCCCATTCTGCTTATGGTCCCTCAAGGAGGGGGTGAGTTTGACTTGCCGGGCACATGCTGCCACTGCTTACCAGAGGTCACTGTCTGGATCTCCGCTATCTTCACACCGACGTCTTGATGTTCAGGTGACTCTACTCTCTCATGCATTCAGTGTTATAATTACTATCCAGCTCTGTCCGACTTGTGTTCAGTTGCCTGCATGCTCCAGTTTGTGTTTGTCTAGGATCTGCTGTGTGCGTTTCATCTCTCTGTTATGTCTGTAGTGATCTTGTGTCTTGGTGCCTGAGGCGCGCTTGCTGTCACGCATTCATGTATTCATGCTCTGATGTCTAGACTTTCACTTTGCGGGTGCGCTGCGTGCGTGTGCCGGCTCTTTTCCCGTGTATCTATGCATTATGTTGCTACACTACAGTTCCGGCTTATAGTTCCGTTTTGAGTCGGACTTTTGACTTTAGTTTTCTCAGCTGTTGCTGTTGTTGTGCTTTTTAGTTTTTCAAGTCAGATTCCTTTTTCCTTCTCTGTTGTTGCTCATGATTATCAAGACTGTAAAAGTATGGAAGTAAGACAATAACTCCAGTGTGAGTTTATGAGCTATTGTTGGTAGTTTGGGTGCTTGCATCCAAACAGTGTCCAAAAAAATGATAAAATGGAAAAATGAAAAATAGGGATTAACTGGCCAGAATACACCACTTTAATCAGCTGTGTGATGGATACCAGGCTAAAATTAGTGGCGGTCAATTCATCAGCCTTGAAAGCTGTTGAATGGTGTAATTCCAGCATAAGTTGCTATTTCTAATAAAAACTGTTCGCTATCATCGCTTCCGCGATGGGCAGGTCTGAGGTCTGAGGGTGTGTGTGTGTATGGAAAAATGAGAAATAGGGATTCACTGGCCAGAAAAAGTCACTTCAAACAGCTGTGTGGTGGATACCAGGCTAAAAATAGTGGCGGTCAATTCATCAGCCTTGCCAGCTGTTGAATGGTGTAATCCCAGCACAAGTTGCCAAGTCTACCATAGCTGTTCGCTATCATCGCTTCCCCGATGAGCATGTCTGGTGTGTGTGTGTGTGTGTGCACGTGGTATGAAAAATCCTGGGTGGTCAGTCCCAACAGCCAGTACATGGTGGAATATGTGGTGTGATGTGTGCTGGAAAAAACGAAAATGAAAAAGTCACAGAGGGGTTCACTGGCCAGAAATGGCCTCTTCAAATAGCTGTGTGGTGTAGACAAGGCTCAGGATAATGGCGGTCAATTCTTCAGCCTTGTAAGCTGTTCAATGGTGCAATCCCAGCACAAGTTGCTACGGCTTCTGCTGTAGCATCGCTATCATCTCCTCGGTGATGGGCGTCAAAACTCAAAAGGGCAAAAAAGGTGCATGTGGTGTGTGTGTGCACGTGGTGTGTGTGTGTGTGTGTGTGTGTGTGTGTGTGTGTGTGTGTGTGTGTGTGTGCATGCAGTGTCACCGTGTGTGTGTGCACGTGGTGTGGCACAAGCATAGCAAGGCACAGCTAAACACAAGAGTTTGAGTTGGGCTATATGGTTGCTGGTGTTGAACAACTGGTGTCAATTGATCAGAGCATGGAATGTCATGAGCTATACGTATACCCATATCCACACAGACTGTACATACACTGTATTACCATAACAAAGACTGCATTTGACCTGCACACTAGGAAATAATATGCTGTATACAAATAGGTATGTTGTACATGCTGCTGCGTTTGTGTCACTCTGTTGCGGCCTGCTGCCGCGTTTTTGCTGTGTTTTTGTCACCCCTTTGTACATGCTGCTGCACCGTCTTCTGGCCCACCAATGTACACACTTTTCCGTACTTGTTGCCGGTTTTTTTGACTTTGTCTGAATGTCATCTTCATACTTCCGCCACCCCACCGCAATGTGCGCATATATTTTCCATAGTATAAGTTTGTCATGTTACCTTAAACTGGCCACATTGCCATTGCTGACAGGATCAGTATATACTTGAGAGACACGATCTACCTAGCAAGAGTAATCTGAAGGCTTTTCTACTCTTACAGTGCAGGAGCTTGAAAAAAACACTTCAATTCGACACTGCGTGCTGCAGGCTAGTTCTGCGCCGGCTTCCGTGCATAGCAGCTTGTGCGTACAGGACCTCGCGATCCCAGCAGTGCGTACAGGTTTTCCATGCACGGGCCCACATGTCGGGCATGCGTGCACTAGCTGCGCAAACTGGTTTGCGTGCAAAGCCCAGAGGCACGGAAGTTGAAAGTTTCACACATCGAATGACTCACTTCCTTTTGTGTGTGTCTGTGTCACTCGATGTTGATTATATTGGAGAGGGTTTGAGTCCCCATTAGCTTGAGTCATCATAAAACGTCCGCTATGAAAGATGTCTTTTCTCTCTCTAGATACCTGCATCCGATTTTTGACGTACTGTTCAGCCAATGTCAAGGAATGATTGCTCACAGACTCTTTAAAAATAAGTGCACATTTCGGTGGTGCGGAGGAAGTATATTTTTAGACTACATTTGAACTCAGGCAAAATGTGCACTAATATAATAATAGAACTTTCGGGTAGCCTTGAGTATTGCAAATGACTGTATTGGTTGACAATTTGACTGTATACAGCATATTTGACATACATGCTCAGTTTTAGTCTAAACTCCATGTAGCGTAACAAAGATTGATGGATCTTTGCACCAAACAATACTTGGCATCAGTTGATCAAGTAAAGATCTACACGTCTCGTTATTAAACTTACATAGCACGATTACACTATAGTGAGTGCAATCATGTTCATTTCAGTACTTTTGTACAGACATGTATTGACTAAAACCCGTGACACGATGGTACAATGCATGAGTTGTAATTATCCTACATCAGCTCAACTACGTTTTTCATTCCCATTGATGGTATGCCAGTTCTACAGTCCATTCATAAAAAGGATGGTCCCTGGCTCTGGCGAGCTCCCCTATTTGGCGATTTTCGTGAAATTATCGTAGACAGCGCAGTGCTGCGGTATTTGAAATTTGTAACCTGGTCCAAATAGGGTACCTGAACCGGGGTTCGAACTGCACAATTCACTGTTGCAAGCGGGTTCAAACGGCCTGGATTTTGATGGATTTCCCAAATCAGTGTTTTTGGGGCAAAACCTGGCCGAAATCCCATTCTTCTTATGGCTTGCCTTTTGGACAAATAGACTTCAGAAACAAAATTAGAATAGGATTTCATAGGGATTGCAGAAAATATTCTAAAAGGTTTGTCCCATTTATGGCCAAAGGCTAGAAGTCCATCTTTTTATGAATATACTGTAGTTCTACTCTACAGAATAGAATGCATGATCTTGTATAATGTTGTAACAAGCACCAGCATAACATTACACATAACATGTATGTAAAGATTTCTTCAATGTACAGTATTGCACTTGCTATCTTCATTTACAAGGTGTATACGAGTATGCAACAGGTATACTTATGCTATGATACTTATGCAGCATACATGTCACAATACCACAAACGCACTATTGTGCTCACTATTTCATATTTCCCACTTCTTTGTCTGTATAGATCATTCAGATTATTCCATCAACTATAGAACAGCGCATGCTCCAGTGGTTCCTGTCTTCCAATACTTCTTCTCATAGTAATACTCATGAGACTACAAGATAGTCTTCTGAGAGTGCTTAGGGAAAGTATTGGGTTGCCAGAGCAGCTAACAAGTGTAGTGGTGCAATTACACGTGTATGAAGTATGAACTTTACATACAAAATGCCATGAAATCATTGCACTACTCCCCTGCTTAAATAAACTGGATACAAGTGTTAGAACTAACTTTATGGCAATCTTTTACTTACATGGATCCTTGACATCTTCATCAGGATGATCATTCTTACGAGCTTGCCAAATTCTCTCCAGCAGTCCACCAACAGCAACATTGGACGGGAAAGTTGAAGACTGAATGTCTTGAATGAAGTTCTGGACACCTGATTGCCCTCTCTTGTAGCAAGTAACACAGCTAACATATCCGGCTAACATATCCACTTCTGAACTCCTGTTGGTTTTAACAAACTCCTTCCAACTCATCACATATCCCCTCAGCGTGGGATCTCTGCTGATACGTGGATGATGTTCATCAATTGCCATGACGGCTTTCTTGAATGCTTCATGTGTAATCTGGCATTGAGCTATGTCATGCCATGCTGGCAGGACAACATCATCCCAGAAGTCAAACGGCATTGTTCTAAACACAAAGTTATACAAAACACAAAACAAAAACAAACAAACTCTGAAACAGAATCTTTTCTTTTCTGATAGTGGATGAATTTGCTGAAAGAGAATTCAAGTATGAATGACAATCAACCAGAAGACCGGCCGCTGTACAGTGTAACACAATACCATGTACCATGTATATTGTTAACATCCCCCCCCCCCCCCCACACACACACGACAAAGGCCCATATGTATGGAGACAAATACTGCCATGCATGCACACCATACCACCACCCAATACACTGTCACTGCTGGTTCTCCATAGCCACACACCGGTATGTAAAACTCACATAATTCATTTTTGGTCAACTGAACACACTTCACCTACAACACAGTCCTCTGTTCTACACCACTACTGTTCATATGTACACACAATCATTTCACTAGATCAAGGGTAAAAGATATTCATGGTTCAAGTGATACTCAGTTTGACTGAGTTTTGCGAATCTGCAGGAACTCCACCACCCTCTATGGATCAAGGGTGCAGATGCAGATTTTAAAGTGATGGGAGGTGAGTTGATCACTGATCAGACCCACAACCAAAGAGGTCAAAATCAGAAAATCCCATTCTCTGCATTCATGGTGAACTCCATTGTATGTAAACACTCTGTGAATGACAAGAGGCAGGGGTGTTGGAATGTATGTTAGAATGGTACTGTCAGCCATCTGAAGTACAATTTACTCGTGGGGTTCGGGTGGTTCCTATGAAAATTTCGAAATTTAGACCCCAGATCAGTGTGTTTTATTGATTCACAGGGTACCCGGGATGAAGAGTGGTACGGTCAATACCATAGTGACCGTAGCGTGTCCGACGCCCTGCAAGAGGTTCATGTATAAGGTTTTGTGAAATATTACAATAGAGACGGATATACAAGTACTTGAGTACAGGGGAAGTATGCATCAGTTTGAGGACAGTGTTGAGGGTCAGAAATGTTCTGAGCAAGTGCTTCTAAAACTAAAACAAATTCACGGTTCCGAGTTTTCCGCATTCGTAGGAAAACCACCACCCTTCAAGGATCAAGGCTCTTCAAGCATGACGTCAATAGAACTGCGATGGCCCTTGTGAAGTTGTGAATCGCATTATCTTTTGCATTTGTCATTTCCCTATATCTCTGCACTACTGTTGTAGTACGTTCCATAGAGTGAATTTGACTTGCAATACAACTACATGTAGGTATCGTTAACACGGGTTTTCTTCACGTCTTGAAAATCTAAATCAATTCTCCACATAGGATAACTCCAACCCATCTTGCCAGCCTGGCAATAACTGACTGTACTGCTTGAAGGTTTCAAGGTCTACCCCTCGAGTCTTAGTCATGTGACATTTTTACATAGTGTATACATGCACAGAACGTCCTTACCGTAAATACTGGATAGCTGCAGATACAGTGCAGCTTCGGTTTTCCAGCACAAGTCACACTAGTGGCTTATCATCACCACATCACGCTGACTCGATCGAGAGAAAACAACGCAACGATGTTACCGTTGTCGTTTAGACCTCGTTGTCACCGACGGACACACGAACCGACAATGATTTTTTTCGGTGATACTGAACAGGTCTACTTTCTCTGGTTCTGGGACAAGGGTATGCTGCCCAGGAGACTACAGTGTACAAAACTGCTATCAAACACAATGGTCCTGTACCTCTTCTTTGCAGATGAACGGACCGGTAATAACTGCGTCTTCACCAAACACACACACACACATACCGACGCAGGTGCAGTTCAGATGCTACGGGAACAGCTACATGTATGATGATTTCCGTAGTGGCCGGCTTGGGTCGTTGGTGGCTACCGCGTCCCGGTACGCGGTGGGTCGATCCGAAGGCCGTTGGTTACGGACTGAGCCGGTTTGGCGCCTTCTTTCTGGCCTTGGGCCTAAGGCCCAGTAAGGGCAGTAAGGGGACTAACTAATACTTACTTAGGCCAGGGAGAGGGGGGCATGCATTCATTGCACTTTGCAGTGGCCACGTGAGATTCGCAGTCTCTGCCACTGTGCCAGTGCAAGACTAGAATGTAGTAACCATGGTAACTAGGCGGGGTAATTTCATTCGTTGCTATGGTGAATCATGTATTGTGAAAACAAGAGTACATGAAAACCAGAGTGTGCAGCGTGGGGCCTTTTCTGCTATGGCCCTAGTATGGGTGTCTGTCACGGCGAAATTCCGTGATTACATCATATTTGGCCCAGATCTGAGGCGGGAAATGGCGTAGTGCATACAACTGAGCTGCAGTTGTGCAGAAAGAGACCTGCTTGAATCCTGCTTGTACGCACTACATCACTAAAATGATGTAATCACGGAATTTCGCCGTGACAGCAACCCATCCGAGCTGCACACTCTGGTTTTCATGTACTCTTGGTGAAAATGACACGAAAAAGGCCAACACTTGCTTGGGATACAGCATCGGCTACAGCCAAATGATTTTCTAATTAATTTTCCCTAAACTCCAAGGCAATCACTGAAACATACAGTATGATTCACTTCTCCAACCCCAACAACGGTCTGTCTCTTCACTGCGAAAAAACATTCCACCAAATGTTCGGGACTGGCCCTTCATTAGGCTGAAAACACAAAAAATCCGGAGCCCACAGTCTCTACATAAGTCACATACATACTGTAGCGGACATGGAAATCCAGTCGATTGACCGGGGCCGGCGCCCTCAGTCTGTACAGAACGCTGTGTGCAGTGCACAAAGTCATGTTGATCCGATGCGACCATGCATGTCCAAGTTATCCACGGCTGCATGGCCAGCGCCCTGGGGCCGCTAGACGTGCGACCGGATTTCCATGTCCACGACAGAACTTGGAGACAGGCGGTATGCTGTACATTCTCTCAAAACTAATAATTACTTAGGAAACCAAAAGAGGTGAGTACTGTCGGTCGCCCAAGAACGGCTAGAATTTCACCACGCACAGCATACCAATGTATACACGGTAACTCAAATGTGCATTGAGTACACTATACACGTACATGAAAATAAGAGCAGTTTTCATGTAGGTTACTAGGCAGACCCAGCGACCAACAGTACATGTACAAGTAGAATGTACACTGTACTAACTCCACTCAATACCCGCCATTGTCCAACTAACAACTAGTATACAATCATATTGAGCAAGTACAGTCAGACATCTTCCCGTTGCACTAATGAGGTATTCCCGGTCTGACATTGTGATAGTTCAGTTTCGTGATAACCGTGTGATGCCGTCAAGCATAGAGATCAAGCAATACTGTACAACTCGTACAAGCCCACATACAGTATACGTCAGTACAAACTGCTTGCAATCCGAGTAACTCTCCATAATCTCAGGCAATGCAACTTTCAGACGTGAATGTGCCGCTGAGTACGTTTTTTTCGACTACTCAGACTACAAGCGCAGAAAGAACATAGGCTAATCTGAAGAGAAAAAAATGAGCTCTGCTGGTGAGGAAGGTGAATCAAGGATATTCGATAGTATTGAAAATCATGAAACAGACAGTACTCTTGTAAATTCGAACGATACGCAGAGAAATCGCACAAAAGGTTGTAAAATCAATAAACTCATAGAATCATAATAATTATATTAAGCCACCAACAGTTAGGCTCTTCAGCGCAGCTGAGCAGCTCAAAACGTAGCCCAACAGGGATCACGTTTCCGTGCAACAAAGCAAAGCATACACATTATAGATAGCAAATACAAACTAGCAGTGCAGTAGAGTGTGGATTTCATTAAACTCTAACTTGCATTTTCAACCATTTCACTGAGCAATAATTATTAATTCTAGCAATAATACAGCATGAAGGAAAGTGTAATTCAATCTTATCTACACCAGTTAGAATGCCAGCCAAAATCTCAAGACAGAGTAAAAGAAACACAACTGGAAAACTTCTTGGAATACCTGAACACACTTGATCAGAAACATTACGATCGTTCAGTAGCGTCTGCACACACCACTCACTGGTACAGCTCGTTGTGGGTACATAGCAGGTCATGGCGGGTCCACCAGCAGAGTAATCTTCACAGACCCTGCGGGGACAAAAGCACACACACAAAGAGACATTCATCAATGCACTGAGTCCTGGAACAATACACGTACTAAGCCTCATGTTGACGGCTTCAAACAACATTGTATATCATGAACTTCATTCTAACGTTCTCTGAGACTCTCCGTACATTTGCATACTGGACTACCACATTGCCCAACCATGCTGCATCTCTGCCAAACTGGACAGAGAGCAGAGCATAGGATGTCTGTGTGTGTGTGTGGGGGGGGGGGGGGGGGGGAGGAAGAGACTATAAGAACATAATGGATGACAAGAGCCTATTCAACATGTCCACAAATCATACATGTACTTAGTTGCTTGCTCTGTGTACCCCTCCCACCCCCCCCCCCCAATACACACACACACATACACATACCCATGCGTCTGGCCTTATCGGTGCACAAGTGTGCTTCCTTGAAATTGCTTTCCCAATTCAAGTACGGGATTGGACCAAACAAACAACAATGCAGCCTTGAAAAATGAAAATCCTCTGACAAGTACAGCTGGTCATCAAAAAAAGTAAGCACAGATCGAAATAGTGACATAACACTGAACAACACTATGCTTACAGAGGATATCTCCAGTAGCTTCAACTGGAGGAGATCAGCAAGCTCCTGGTGGGCCAGCTTCTCACTCTCTTTCAGAGCGAATACAAACTGACGGAATGCCTGTTTGCCACAGCCCGGCAGTGCTTCCAAGAAGACAGATGCCTGAGACACAACATTCCAATAAAAAGAGATGGAGGGCAACATGTAATTCTATCCATCTGCATACAACCCATCAACCCATCAACCCATCAACCCATCACTCTCTCATCTCAATAACCATGATAAGTTTGTAACCTCCTTGCCTAGTCTAGCTCCTTCAAGCGGCCTAGTCTAGCTCCTTCAAGCGGCCTAGTCTAGCTCCTTCAAGCGGCCTAGTCTAGCTTTCACTCAGTAGCCGCCTGTCCAACTACATACTCGACCAGCTGTACACAACTTGGCGACGATAAGCCATTGTCACCAAAAACACATTTTCCGGGTTAAATGCTGCTCACTAGAAATTTCATTCTTTGTGTCGACGTACTAATTTCACTGCTGAGCATAAGTGAGAGCAGTAACAAAATAGTTCATCAACACCAAAATTTCATATGGTTTCATTCTCCAGAACCTTATTATGCCAGGAAGCCACGATCCTGTTCACTGCAGCCTATTTATGCTTTCTGAAGAAAGATCAAGCACAAAACAAGTGCTCTACATTTGTATTTCTGTGCAAAATTTGACCTGGCCACTCGTATACTCAAACTTTAAGTATCCTATTTGCCCTTCTCCAGATTGTTCCACCAACCTGAGTGACAGTCAAGAAGGGTAAGCAGCAGCATTCGCCCTTCTACAGATTATGTTGCTGATGGTGTGCTGTGGCAACGAGTCAAGGTCGGCCGAAAAGCGCACATGTGGTGAGGTGGTTGATGAGAACAATAACCTGACAATCTCTGGGTCATCTGATAAACTCTATGTACCGGTAACTGCACTCCTTGCAGCTTCAAACTTGGAGACTGTTGTCAACGGGTTGATAAACAGAACATGATTTGATTGATGCTCAGGATTACTATTCTCAGATACTGTAAGTCTACAAATTTTCAGCCCATCGAAATTATGGCCTCCCAGGGCTAAACACACTTCGGCCACATCAAATTTTTGGCCTGCATTGCTGCTGACTGTATGCACTGTCACACTCAACCTTGCAACACAAAATTTCGGCTGCAACAATTTTTCGGCCAATTATGCCCAGGCCGAAAATAGGTGAAAATAAATATGCGTGGAATATTGGTTGACTTACAGTAGCAGCAGTCGGCAGTTACGGGTGAGGTCACCCGCACAGGCCAGGCAAGGGACGTTTGAGTGTACATGCAAAATATCATGCTTGCGTTTAGTCTGCTGCAGTTGGTTACTTTTTGCACGAACTACCAAGTATCAAAGCTTGACATGCAAAAGAATTCTTGCATTCCCCACTTCTGCAAGTATACAATCAATCGGTGCTCAATAAAAAGGTATCGATATTGAGACGGTAGTGCTGGTTCCGATTTCCAGTGTCCCTGCAAATGTTTCTTCTTCATATGAAAGAGAAATGCTGTGTGATACGTTGCAGTGGCTACTAGTAGTTAAATGAATACACCATAGGTAGTAATTACACATCAACACAAGCATTACCTGATCTTCACGATCATCCATAGCACGGAGTTTCTTGCAGAAGCGTTGGGTGATGATGCTCTCAGCATAGAGACGGTCCAGAATGCCCTCTTCTACGTCCAAACTACACTTCAACTCCACATAGCTTGACCGCAGCACTTCCTGGTGAAGCTCAGACATCTAGTGCAGAAAATAGGCACACCAGTTGGATAATTTATTTAGCAGGGAATTCAGGCATTTTAACATCTACACCATGATATGTGAAAATGTTCATGATGTATCTACCTTCCACATTCACTAATGTTCTTATGAGCTGTGAAAAAGAAAAGACAAGATGTGACTTTTCCCATCCAGCAGAATACCTGGATATGTTTTCTTGCAGAGGCGTCGCACACGGTATGGTCAGTACGGTATTGACCGTACCAATATTTGCCGTAAGTACCCCGTGGATCAATAACATGCACTGATTTGGGCTCTAAATTTCCAAATATTTCGGCTCAGCCACCCCTGTCCCACGAGTACACTGTACACACTAAATTACCTTCCGACATTGCCCCTGGCTTGGAAAACGAAAAATTAACAAAAGAAGAAAACATGCACCTGACCTCTACTGACATACAGGTATTCACTCTGTCCCATGCAGTAGCCACAACATTGGAAATATTTAGACAACTG